CCAACATAGATGAGAAATAAAGAACCTTAATTTTGGTAACTGGAACTTGAGGAGCTAAGTGCAGGTTTTGTGAAGGCAATGTAAAAGTTTCAAGCTCCTTTACAAAGATAATGCAAGCTTCGTTAAAAGTAAGCAACTAGTTCCATCTATTAATTCTTGATTATTTCACGAAAGAGAAAGTAGCAAGTCTACCAAAGAGCACGAATAAAATTAGCAACAAGTCCTAAAGTATGAACTGTATGTTAAAGAGATATGTAAGTTAAACTACATGAACCAAGAGAGAGGAAGAAATAGAGCGAAACATATCTACAAGGGCATGAACAAATTAAAAGAGAATTTCAAAGGTTAAACTCCACATCAAACTCCTAAATATGAAAAAGTAACAAGCTCTATCTAATGAGGAAGAAAAACATACATCTTGTTCAAGTGCCAAACGACGTTCATGCAATGCTTGCTTCCTTCTCTCCAAGCTAGCTTGCAGAATTGCATTTCCTCGAGCCTACAACAGATGTGGTTCTGTCCTGTCAGCAACAACACCAACTAATGAACTTTGTATAGAATGGTTTCAGAAATAGTTTACCTCCTTTGCAATTCGATGTCGCAAGTCATTTTTTGTAATCTCAAGCCTCTGTATAGCAAGCCTACACGCATTTCAATTAACTAATCTGTTAGATATGCTAGATACCAGTATAGAGCAACTTCATGAAAGTTTCTTATAAAGGAAATAAAGCTGAAATAAAAGAAGTTTGTCAACCACCTCTTTTTCTGAGCTTTTAGCATTCATAACATCAAAATATGAGAAAACTCAGAATTTTTTCCAACATAAGACAATGAGTTGACAAGAAATTGCATACATTTAAATATTATATGGGCTAAGGGTTCACTGTTAAATAACTGGCAAGAAAACTGAACATCATACTACCTCCAACTTTCATGTCTTTACTTCTACAATATCTTTTCTTTTAAGCCTGTGTTATTCAAACTCTAAACTTTAATTACTCAGACCAGCATGACATGACACAGGCAAGGTATGCCCACCAGATACTCCGAATTTATAGAAAACCTATGAACTAGATGAATTTGAAGATAAAACAGTTACCAACACCTGATACTCAAGTCTGAATATCATGAAAGCACTAAGTACAGGCTAGTATTGTCACAAAAAGATTTTCCTGGAAGGAAATCTCAGTGCATCAAATCATAGAAGGTCAACAGATGTTTGAAGCAACCTGTGTTGATCTTAGGGCAAATGAACATTCAAACAGCAACATGTCCAAGTGATGGTAATGGAAATTAGCTTCTGTCTGGGTGAAGGCACACAGTTTTTTAAGGGCGTTCCCTTATCTCCGATGCAAAAGATCAGATTACAATTTTGTCTAGATCTTATTTCACTGTTACTTCTATTTTTCTTTTTACTAAAGGATAGCTTATCCTCTCTTTGAATAGCTTGTTTCATTTCAGAGGACAAAAGAAATGATCACTAAAGATTTTTTTCGTACTTCTGAGACAAAAAGGAATATCATTAACAGGCACCAAGGAAGTGACCCCCTAACAGAAAAAAACAATTGAAAGATTTCTTTTTCTATTTTTATTCAAATATAACTCATGAGAAGAGTTTTGGAAACCGAGCACCTATTTCAAATGAGCAAACAATAGTACTTCTGCCACTCAAATAGATGTCAAGATTAGCACAGTTACCTCTGTGTTTTAATGATGCAATTTATGGTCTGCAATGTTCAATTATAGAGCATCTCTTAGCTTTAGATAATGCAACTTGATGGTAAAAATTGTTCAGCTTCAGAAATCTACTTCAACTCCATTTTCCTAACATTTTCTCTTTAAGATTAGACAATTTTAAAATGGAAAAAAAGAACTGAATGGGGGAGAACTGTCTCACTAACAACATCAATTCTGAAACCATTACCAATGAATAAATTTACAAAAATCAGCTTCTGAAAATAAAGCAATGCTGTTTCAGATATAAGAGACTTAACGAAATTTTCAAATGAACACCATCAGTTAATAAGCTCAAAAGAAATAACATGCTCATGTTTCAGATATAAGAGACTTAACGAAATTTTCAAATGAACACCATCAGTAAATAAGCACAAAAGAAATAACATGCTCATGTGATGAAGCATTCATGCAAGCACTTGTGTGTTCCATAGGAATATATGGTAGAGCAAAAAGCTAATGCGTGTAGTATCTTACTCTTCTTCCCCAGAAGAATCAATTGAGTCAAGTGAGGGTGTCTTCCTTGCCTATACCGGAAAAAAAAAACAAGATTATCAAGTGCTTATCATTTGAAGAGGCACAAAACTGCAGAATTTGACTATGACATCTAACATTTACTTCCATATCATAAGAACCGAAACAAAATTGCACTAACCAATAAACAGTAAATTTAAGGTGCATGGATTTTAAGTATATCAATAGTTTCAGAAACCACCTGGGTGCCCATGCCATTGATTATTGCAAATTTCATGTCCAACAGTTCTTTTTTCTTTCTTTCTTTTTTTTTTGAGAATAGTGGTCAACAGTTCGTTCGTGACATATAACTCAGCAGAGGGTGGCTTTAAATGGTTGAAACAATAAGATTTCATTATCTATATAATCAAAGTTTGAGAAAGAAGCACCCAAAACTAATAACTCACACGACAGCAAGAAAGAAGCACAAAGAGGTCTGCTAAAAGAATTACGTAAATGCTTTATAAGCAATTTTTCATGGCTTTAGGAACGGAGTGCTGACTAAGAAATGGATCTTACATGAAACTATTAGGCACATTAAAAGACCCCAAACTGCCGTTCTCAAATTTTTGTATCCTATAATCTGCTGGTAGTAGTATACAGTTTCCAACATCTAAGATAACAATGCATAAAAAATTAATAACTCACATTGCTTCTTCCCCAGAATGTTGATCGCTTCACATTAAGAGTGGAGCCTGTGACTTTACCCGCTGGCTTCTCAGCAGAAGATTCAACTATGGATCCAGGTGGTGGATTACCACGATCCATTGATGACAGAATCTCCCCCATTGACCTATACGACTCACCAGCAGGTAAGACATTTGAAACTTCTATGTCGTTAGTTGAATTTTCATTTGCTTTCTTTTGTTTGCCATGCTGCTCCATCATCTGAATACTAGGATCTGCAGCATGTAGAGTATCAACAGACAAGTTTGAACTCTCCGCAAGAGCAGGATTGTCTCTGGATCCAACATCTGAATCATCAATCCCAAATGCCTGAACAAAGACCAAGTATTCATATCAAACAAAAGTGAAGGACGAGAAAATTAAATCAGTACAAACTTAAGTCATTAATATTATCTGTCATTTATTTAATAATAAACTTATGACTTCATAATGTATAAAAGGTCCCATTCTCTTCTAAAGTTTAAATAAGTTAGTTATATGTCACTATATCACTGTTTGTCTTAGCCACATGTATGAAGAGATTAGGAACATAGCAATAAATAGAAGCTAATCTCCTGCCCTCTGCAGCACATCTAAGACCAATATGTGATACCCTCTGCACATGTAACTGATTAAGATTCAATTCTTGAAGAGATTCTAGGAAGAGTCTATCTAACCATTAATCATTATCATGTTATTTTGACATAGTAGATATTATACATAATTTTGAAGTATATTTTCATGAACAGTTATCTGGATGT